CGCCATCTAGCTGCCCGTCGGCAGCTCGTGGCCTCTAAGCTCAAGGTGCTGTGTTCAGTCTTAGTTGCAGGTGGGCATAGCCACCATCCCATGCGGGAGTCAAACCCGGCAGCCTGGTTGTTAACAGCACACGCTCTATCCACTGAGCCATCTGGGCAGCAGCTCAGCTCAAGGTGCCGAGTTCAGTCTTAGTTGCGGGTGGCATAGCCCACCATCGAACAGGCAATCTTGTTGTTACACCACCTGAGCAATCCTGCCACCTGGTGGCAGCTCAGCAACAGCTCAGCTCGGGTGCACCGTCACTGGCCCATGTGGGAATTGAACCAGCGGCCCTGTTGCTCAGAGCTCACATTCTTAAGCCAACTCTTAACCAACTGAGCCACTCGGCCAGCCCCCTCATTTCTTAATGTTGGCCATCCTCAGGGCTCAGTCCTTGCTTTCTTCTCTGTGGATTCACTCTTGCTCCCTGACTGAGCTTTACAAACCATCTNTTATAATTTGGTTTTAAAAAATTGCACACATTTGACAATTTTTCACTTTCTTCACATGCAGATTTCCACAAAACTAAGTTAAAATGGGGTCAAAAGAAGAGGTTCGGTATATTAATTTTCTTTGAAGCTTACTAATAAGCTTACTTAGCTGATCTACTTAAGGTTGTCTTGAACTCTTTTATTTCTAGAAACTAAGGTTCCAGTTTGTTTTCAAAATTAGTACATCAAAATCCTACCCAGTGGACATGTTTTATTTCCAAAGAATATTCAGAAATTATTTATTTGCTCACATGCCAATGACACGGCTTAAAACAAGTTGGACATAGTCTTTGTCTATACAGACCAGGAATTCACATGGAAAACCAAGCTCCTAGAATATGAGAATTTAAAGAAAAAAAAGAACATTCTATTCTGCTATGTTTCCTCATCTTTTTCTTTCATAAAAATGAGTTTACACTACTAGCTTCAAACCCGTTAGGAATTACCCAATATCACAATTTATCCAAAAAAGAGAACTGAATATATTGGGTTGTCAGAAAAGTCATGACATATTTTTTCTCTGTTTTTTGTTGCAAAAATGCATCATGGCTTTTCCGACAACCCAACAAATAAAAAATGAAAATGAATTTTTGAAAAGTTCTGGTAGACAAAAAGTGGTACAAATGAAATAGGATATATCAGTGAATTCTAAGACAGAAGATTTTAGTACAGCATTTAGTTTCCTAAAGTCAGTTGACATAATCTGGGGCACAAAAGCTCTTGGTTACGTGTATGTAACATGTAAATGTAAATTTTAAGCTGCAGAGTATCACCATCCAGTTGGTATGTCTGCTGTGAAGCAATAATTATTCTGTGATAACCTCTATTTAAACTTTGATAAGGTATGTTATTCTATTAGAAACTCAGAAAGTTACTGCAAGAATTGGATTGAAGTTTTCGGTAACATAGTTTAATTTCTCAAAAAAAAAGGCATATAAAGGCAAAAGTCACAGTATAACTCCCTTGTATTAAAGTTAACAAATAAATTCTTAGCCATAATAGAAAAATTGTAATATAGAAAAAGCCTACTCAAATTACATCTTTTGAAATTAAATTATTATAAAATTGAATATAGAAAAGTGTGGAGAAACTACAGCAAAAAGATAAAAGTAGACAAGCACACAGAATGAAGCAAAACAGGAGGGGCACAGTGTGTGGGGGGGGGGGGTTAAAATTTGCAAATGAATGCTATAAACAGAATAAAGCAATGGATATTGAATGCTGTGTGTTTGACAGATTGACACTTAGAGAAAGAAGAACTATAATGAACCATATGGTTGGTTTGGTCCTAACACAGTGCAAAGGAGGACATTTTATCTATTCTACCTAAAAATAGCTAAATAATGATATTCAAACGTTTTTTAGCAGAGGGCCCATTTTTTTCCACTTGTTACCCCAAGATTCCTGCTGCTGCACTTAAAACACCCTAGTCTTTGAGGCAGCTCTGAGGAATCTTGGACCACTACTGACTAGTTCAAAAGTCATTGTGATGATAAATACGTATCTCACAGTTAACAGACACTAATATAACTTGGTGGGGGGGAGCAGAACCTCGAAAAATATCTGACACACTTATGTCTCATTTCTTTTTTTAAAGATTTTATTGGGGAACTGGGAGACAGGGAACAGTGTTGGGGAATTGGGGAA